AATTCATCTTGAAGGGATCCTCTGACCCAGAAGGTCCCATCATTTCCTGCTCAACACACACAAGGCTGACAGCACAGGACATGCTGTGCTCCCCACCTGGGACTCATAAAGCAAATCCAAACCACCTTTTTTTACTAAAAAAAATCATTCTTGTGACTGCTTAGGCCCATCCTCTTTCATCAGCTGAATCCATTCCAACACCTCAGCACGAGCAAATATTTGGGACGTGAATACAGCGAGTGTGAGGAGGAGGAGGCAGAGCAAGGCCAGGAGCTGGCTGGAGGGCACAAGGGCACTGCAGGAGTGAGCAGCAGGCTGGGGACACTGCCACCAGCACGGCCCCATCTCAGGAAAACATCTAAATTGCCAGGCCAAGAAATGTCATCCCCCCAAAGGCTGCACAGGTGACTCAGAGCAGGGCACTTGTCAGGAATATCAGTGTAACTTCCCCAAGAGTCAGATTGCAGGAAAGGCTGATTTCATGGCAACTCAGCCAGCTCCTCCTCTCCACTGAGCAAAAAACAAATGGATGGGGACTTGCTCATCTAAACACACAGGATACGTCAGAGGAACAAACCTGAGCAGCTGCCATCGTAATTTATAAAACAAATTAAATCCATGGCAAAAAGAAGCAAAACTTAGAACAGAGAGATCACAGAACCTGGCAGGAAAAGGCCCCAGCCTGCATGAATCATTATTTTCTAGAGGAAACCTTATATAATCCAAGCTACCCCGTTTTAAAACAAACCAAACCTTCCAAAAACTCCAGTTAAAAGGGTTTAGCAAAGCCCTGGTTCTAATTCAGGTGTTTTGGTAAGATGAAAAAAAGCAACCCAGCTGGTACAGATTAATCTGCTGTAGTTTGCACCCTGCCTTTGGCATCCCAGCCCTCCCTGGGCAGGAAGGCAAAGGAGCTGAGCCCTCACCTGGGCTGAGGAGGCACTGGATTGCATTGCCACCTTGTGGGACAGGAGCAAACAGGGACAGGGACAAAGGGCTCTCCGGGACACAGGTCCTGCCCCAGGAGGGGATTTGCTGTGGCTGCTCCTCCTTCTCGTTTATCTGAAGGGATGCACGCAGGGAGAAGGTGATCTGCTGCCCTCAGGCTGCCTGGGAGGGGATGGACACGGGCTCGTCTATCAGAAATAAAAGCTCCCTCTTTTTCTTTCCTTTTTCTTTTTTCCTTTTTTTGCTTGTTTTTACTGTGACAAAGTCATGGTTTTCTGTGTTGCAGAGCCAGCTTTTCTCCCTGGCTGCAGGAGAACTCCAGAGAGTGGCCGGGGTGGGACCAGGAGCAGAACCAGCAGTGCCCAGCTCCCCTCCCCAAAATTCATCCTTCAGCAGGACCTGAAGAGCCTTTCTGACTCCACACATGGCACAGCTGAGGTGCAGCCACCTCTGCACAGGTCCCACCTGCCAGCTGTGGCCTGAGCTACCAAAACCCCCTTGGCTGCTCCAGACACAAGCACTTGAGGATGTTCTTATCACAGCCAAAGCCTGCCTTAACCATCCTCCCTGCAGGGAGCTGCCTACTCGTGGTCTTTGGGGAAAGAACCCAACAAAAAATCCCACTGCAAAACTCAGGGATGGGGGAAAGTTACCCCAAAGCACCAAACCCCTGCTTCCCCCAGCATCTCTACTTTAATTACACTTCAATTTATTTGCAAATTTTTTAATGCAGCTCTTAAGAGGATGTTCTAAGGGTTAAAGTTTCTAATGAAAACACTCATTGAGAAATGGTTGGTGAATGTTACTCTGCAGAAAGCCCTAAAGGTGCCCAGCCTGGGAGAGAGAGGAGAAACCACCCCAAGAGCACCAGTGGTGAGGCTGAGAAGTGAGGATTGTGCACGCAGCCATTCCTGGAGCAGAGCAGCTCAGGCAGCCTGACACTTGACTGCTGAGCTGTGTGAGCACCCTGGACAAAGCTCAATGCAAATTTCTGAAATCTAACAAACTTGTATGTCCCAGCAGCCCTCCTGATGGCCAGCACTCACTGGCAAGGGAGGAAACAATGCCAGGCAGTGTGCAAACATTTGCCTGCGGATGACTGATGATTTTCAACAATCATTTCATAAATGCAGCAGCCTGGAGTCCATCCCGTGGTTTTCCTTCCCCTGCAATCCCTGGGAGTGCCCAGTGCCACCAGGGTGGGGCTGCCCGAGGCCACTGGGGGACAGGACAGCCTTCCCTGGGCATGGCCAGGGCTGGCACATTCAGCATCTCTGGGACAGCCAGAGAAATGGCACTGAAAGTAAGCTGTGAATGAACAACCCCCCAGCACAACCTGAGGGGCTGTGCCAGGCTGAGGCAGCTCCTGGGCCAGGCTGGCAGTGCCAAGGGCACAGCCCAAAGGCCAGGGGGCACTGGGAGCAGCCCCCACAGCTGGAAACGAGGTTTGCATAGAGGGGGATGGTGAAATATTGATTAAAGTTGGGCTTCACCAGCAATACTTTGATTTTATGATGATACTGGCTGCTAACAAAGACACACCCATTAATGCATTACATTCCTGCTTGTAAAACAGGGATTATTCCATTATTGCAGCCAGAGTGCTCTGCTCGTACCCACAGCCCGGGCTCCAGCACAGCACTCAGCAGCACAATAAAAAGACATCACGATTTCAAAAAGGAGAAAAAACACATTACAGGCTGGAGCAGAGGGGAGACAGGCTCTGAGTGAGTGAGGGGCAGGGCTGAGCACTTCACCCTGCCCGAAATCCAAAGTGAGACACCAAACCCAAAGAGTTCCTGAGGATGTGACCAGCTGAAATGACAGACAGGCACTCTGACAGGGCCCCCTGGCAGTTTTCCTGCTGCTTGGCCTCATCCCAGGGCTAACCACATGTACAGGGAGGGTATTCCTGATCCCAGTGCACCGGCTCATCCCAGGGGTAAGGGTGGAAGGGGATGGGAGCAATGCTGCCAAAGCCAGGGTGCTCAGCAGGGCTGCTGCAGAGCTCAGCCTGGGCAGGAGGAAGCAGCTATCTGAGGCAATCTGGGGTTACTTCTGCCCAAATTGTTATGCAAACACAGCAAGACCTATGGGAGCAGAGGGGACAGGCACCAGAGGCAGCACTTCTCACCAAAGCCAAATGTTTTTCGATGTGCAAAGGGTGAGAGAGGTCACCCCCATGGAATCCAGGCCAGGATCCTCCCAGCCTTCCTTCTCCCATCCTCCTCCTCCTCCTCTGAAATTCCCCAGGCAGCCAGGATGGGCTTCCCGAGTTAGAGAGACAGCCTCATCATCATGCAACATGTCTGGGGCTGCACTTGCACGAGGAAACCTAAAACTGGGGAGAAATGCCTCCTGGACCCCACGGGACTGACTCCCTGCCCACCCCCGTGTCAAGCTGAGCTGCCCCGGACTCGTGAGGAAAACAAAGCCACAGGAATTAAGGGGAGACTCCAAAGGCACACAGGGGTGCTCAGCATCATTCAAGTGCACTTAGTTTTAAATTAAATCCATCTTGCATCAACATTCAAGATCTAAAATAAAAGAGTCAGTCATGAACTCTGCAGTCACGCCTTTAATTCCATCTGCAGTTGGTACGGGAGAACTCGGAGACAAATGACTCTGACAAGTCAACTTTAACCTCCAGAAGAAGCCACAGGTTTTCATCAACCTCCATCAACCAAGCTTTCAAAGCCTTATCACGGATGGAGAACCAAATAAATCCCTGGAATTGTCAGTGCTGGAAAGATGCTTCATTGCTAAGGTGGGGAGCTCTGCAGGCAGAGCCTCACTCCAGAGAGTGAACCCTCACTCCAGAGAGAGAAACCTCAATCCACAGAGTGAACCCTCCCACCAGCCACAACCAGGCTGTGACCACGTCAGCCCTTGCCTTTCTCTTCACTGAACTACACAAACCCAATTCCAACAACTTCTGACTGCAAGTCAAGATTCTGTAGAGCACTGTGAATCTTCTAGCATGGTACAACCCAGGGAGACCAGAACCAGAATTAACACCACCACCTCCCCAGGGACCTCATCCCTCAGCCAGTCACTCTCCCCACACAAAGACATCTTCTGCCACCATCCACAGCATCCTCTCCTGGTCAGAGCCACCAACCCCAGCTCTCCATCCAAACCTGCCTGTGGCTGTCTGTCCTTGGCCCTCTGCACAGGGAGGTCAGTTCAGCTTGAGCAGCTTGCACATCACTGCAGGAGTCACCAGGAAGGATTTCATGCCTGGCAGGCTCTGAGTGCCGCTGGGTTAGGAGCTCATTCCTGCAGGACACCTCCTGTGGCCCTGCTCCCCGCTGTGACAGCTTTGTGAGAGCTGGTAGCAAGTTTGTGTAAAGCTAATTAACATGCACCGCTTTAATTTCAAACCATTTCTTACAATCAGGACATTGTGCAACGCTGCAGTCAAATGGCTCAAGGAAATTAACTGCAGCAGCACTTCAGCACAGCCAGTCAGAGCTGCTGGAGATCTTTGGAGTGCTGGGGTTTGTGCCTGTGAAAGAAGCTCTCCTCGGGGGGGAGCATTGCACAGCAATTAGCAACAGTTAATAACTGCACCTCATCAGTGAAGAACGGCCCTGGTGATGCCTTAAGTTTTAGCTGACATATTTTTCAGGTTCTGTGCTGCCTAGGCGTGCAGTTCTGAGCTTCATAGTAAGGGATGGCGAGCTCTGTGCACAGAGCAGGGAGACAAAACAATTCCTGCTCCAGCTGGGCACCAAGGACAATCCATACAAGTTTCAGGCCCAAGAGCACAAACCCCGTGGGCTGGAGAGAGAAAAACAAGCAGGATGGGAGTGCAGGGGCTGCAGCTGGAATTGGACACTGAACTGCAATGTGCACATGGAGCAGAGCTGATCCCAGGGAGAGACCCCGGGAGCGCTCGTGCATTTTGGGACCCTTTGGGTTCATCTTGTGCTGATCCACGGAGGAGATCCTTTTAACAAATCCCTGCTCTGCTGTGCAGCCCTGCCCAGCCTGTGGCCCAGCTCAGCCCCAGGGCAGCCCTGGGTGGGGGTTTGTGCTGCAGTTCCTACCGCACGACGTGGATTTCCTCTCCACCACCTTCACGTGGCGGGTCTGGCTGCGCAGCCGGCCGTCCGTGCTCTCCACCAGGCTGGTCAGGTCATCGATGATCTCTGGGGAGAGAGAGGAACAGGCACGTTCAGTCTGAGCCCACAGCACCCAGCTCAGCCACCCCCCTGCTGAAAGCCCCAGAATGGAAGGAGCTGCGTCCCCCAGCGGGACACAGCAGGGCTCACACCACTGAAAGGTGCAAATCCTGGGAGACAGCACAGCCGAGACTCCAGATTCAGTGCAGTGCTCCACTGCAAGAGTGGAGGAGAAAGCACAGCCTGAAGTGGAGGAAAAAATACAGCCTGAAACAGCAGCATCAGTCTAGGAGGTCAGGGAGGACAGGATGGTGGCAGCCACAGAGCTGAGGAGAATTCCCTCACTGAGCCAAAGTGAGAGAATGAGTGCCTGTGCTATAGGAAATCTGGAATTTCAGTCCCTGGAAGAGCATCATGACACCCTCACTAAACCACATCCACCATCTTCATAAAGGCTTCTGGGAGCACTCAGGGCAGTCCTGACCACGCAGCCACTGAGGCCACAAATCCTGCCTCGGTTCCCTCCTGGAGCTGTGGGTCTGGCAGCTCTCCCTGCAGCCCAGAATGTCCTCTGGAAAAAGGAAAGAGGGCAAAGTTTCCCCTACATCAAATTTTAAGAGAGGAGAAAGGAAAACTTGAAGCCAAGCCACCCTCAACCTCCTGTAACTGATGGCTTTAATTTTGTCATGGATAGCAGAGCTGGTACAAGGCTTACACTGAGAGTGGTTGATGGGATGGCTCAAAATGAAAAGCCACATTCAGGCACTGAATTTCCTTCTCACTGCCTGTTACGCTCTGATTTCCCTGGAACACAGAGCCAGAGCTTCTGCTGCCTGCACACACCAGGTGTGGCTGCCCTCGGCCCTGCAGGTAGGAGAGGCTTCACCGTGCACGGCAGATCAGGAGAGGACAGCAGCCAAGAGAGAGAGCTGCTGCACGGCCTCTCGCCCTGCTTCACCCCAGCACTGTCCCCACTGGTGATCCCGGGCTCTGCAAGTCCTGCCTGCCTTTGAGCCAGCCTTGGGGACAGTGGCCGTGCCCTGTGTGCCCCAGCAGCTCCTGGCACTGCAGCTCTGCCCCGAGGGAACCCTGCCTTCAAGGGCCCTCAGCAACAAAAGCAGAAGTCAGAGCACACAGCAGACAAAGTGATATCCTGCCCAAAAGTTTGGATCATAACCCCGAGTGGGTGATGGCAGACTGGAAGAACACAATCCACCTCCAGGACAGGGCTCTTATTATTGAGCCTTTATTGGTTTGATTGTATTCCTTCAAACAGAAGATTTCCCAGCTGTCTCTACAAGGAAAAAGGGAATGACAGTGAAGAGGGAGGGCATTCCTTGTGCTTCCCAAACTTCCCTGTGACACAAGGACCTGTCCTTACAAGAGTCATGCCAGTGTGTGCAATTAGTCCTTGCAGCTTCCCTGCTGTCATCCCTGTGACACCAGGAATTGCATGGGAATGGTTTTCTGCACCATTCACCTTCCCAGAGCAGGTCACAAACTCCTGAGCTGGGAGGGACCCCCAGGATCACCCAGTGCAGCTCCTGTCCCTGCCCAGACCCCCAGCATTCCCACTCTGTCCAAAGGCTCCTGGAGCTCTGGCAGCCTCGGGGCTGTGCCCGTTCCCTGGGCAGCCTGGGCAGTGCCAGCACCCTCTGGGAGAAGAGCCTTTCCCTGAAATCCAACCTAAAGCTCTCCTGACACAGCTCCAGCTGTTCCCTCAGGCCCCAGATGTTCATTATGGAGGGTGTTTATGTTCTCAAGCTTATCAAGGAACAAGCACTGTATCAAATACAGATAAAACCAGTCTGATTGTACACAGAGATAACAAAACCCACATAAAATTCCCAGAGTTCTGCAGCACAAAGGAGATGTCCAAGGCACATGGAGCACGGAGGTTTGGCTCTCCCGGAGAGCTGAGACACTGAAGCACCATGCTCGCAGTGCATGTTTCCATCTGCTCCACAAACACTCATCTCCAGTGATGGAAAATGATATCAGCACCTAAAAAACCCTGGACTTTGAAAACACACAGCTTTCCTAAAGCATGAGCTCCTGATTCCAGCCCTGCAGCCCAAACCATCCCGGAATGCCCAGGAAGGGAGGGCACAGGGCAAAGCTCCACCACTCCCCTGTGTTTTACCCATGCACACTCCCAGCCTGCTCTGTGCCAGACACAAACCCTCCTGATTTCTGAAGCTATTATTCATCAATATGATTACACTCAGTGCTGTCCATCCTGCACCAACACACATTCTCCCAGGGGATGGGAGGCATTTCTTTGAGCTACAAGGTTTGTTCAGTTTGCAGCTCAGATATTCACTCTCCTCCCCCTTCCACCCAACTTTCCCAGGTCTGACATCTGCAAAGCCAACAATATTTTGGGGAAACTTTATCTGTCCTGCGTGATTCAGCACACAGGAAGAGCAGGACAATGCTGCCTGCAAGGGCAGGACTGCTCATGTTTGCCTCTCCACGAAAAAAAGCGCTGCAAGTTCCCATCGTTGTCAAGGACAAAGTGATAAGCATGCTTGGGAAATTGGAGACTTTCCTCTGCCAGCACTGACCAGACCCTCCTTGAAAAACATCCTGGTGAACAAGCTGTAGCTAAACGAGAACAAATGTGAGCAGGGAAATTTTCTGTCATCATTTCAAAGCCCAAGGCACTGCAGTTGGGATTCTGTGTAGAGCCTCTCCTTTCCCATCCCCCTGCCAGGACTCACTGCTGAACCCAAGGGCTGCCCTGCACATCCTGGAAGAAGCATTTCTCTAAATATATATGTACATAAAAACATGTTTTGTGACACAGTCAGGTTCCAGGGGAGCAGGGCACTTCACCCAGCACACAGCCCACTGCTCAACAAGCACCCAGCCCTTTGATGTCTCAGCTGGGGCCTGGGGAATTCTGGGGGGCTCATGGCAGGACCTGGAGGGCTGAGCAGCTGAAACAGAGAGGAAGCACAAGGAAGTTCTGACCCCACTCCCAGCTGAACCAGAAGTCCAGCCCAGCAGATTCCCCAGAAGAGGAACATCCATCCCTCATCCATCCATCCATCCATCCATCCATCCATCCATCCATCCATCCCTCACCTATCCATCCATCCATCCATCACCCATCCATCCATCCATCCATCCCTCACCCATCCATCCATCCCTCACCCATCCATCCATCCCTCCATTCATCCATCCCTCCATCCATCAATCCATCCATCCATCCCTCACCCATCCATCCACCCATCATCCATCCATCCATCCATTTCTCCATCCATCACCCATCCATCATCCACCCACCCATCCATCATCCATCCCTCCATCATCCATCCCTCCATCCCCTGCACCCACAAACCCCCTGTTGTGGTGACACCCAAGCACAGTGCCCAAGCTCCCTGTACATGAAATATTTCTCCCCACTCCAAAGGAAATCCGTGTTGGATAAGGCAGAGCTGAACATCAGTACTGGATTTCAAAGGTGGGCCCCCAGTAATCCACAGCTAAGGAAGTCCTCAGAGCACTGGTCCTCCTCAGGTTCCCACCCTTCCTGACCCACCTGCAGCCCCCCTGCCCTTCAAGCTGGCAATCCCATGTTCCATCACCTCCCATTCAGCTGGCTATACAAGGAACTGGCTAAAAAGGGATGGAGAGAGAGCTGGCAGGAGGGAAGGAGCCAGGTCCCCGCGGCGGGAGGAGCAGCCGGGGAAGGCAGGCTGGCTGCTGGTGACCTTCCAAAGGACACTCCTGTAACACAGCTCTGCAAACCACAGCTCAGCCAGGAACACACATTCTGCCAAGGTCTCCTTTCAGGGAAGCAGGATCTTGAAGCAGAAGATAAAACCCAGCGCCCACGCGCAGCACTCAGCTCGGAGTGGGAGAAGGTTGAAGGTCAGTGCTGGAGGTGAGCGTGGCCAGGAGCTGCTCCATCAGCAGGGACTGCCCAAAACCCACTGTCACAGCTGTCCCCATGCTGCACACGTGTCCCTGTGCTGCCACCAGCCAGGCAGGAGGTTCTGGAGCTGAGCAGGAGCTGAGGCAGCCCAGCATTCCCAATGGGAAGTCCCTGCAGGAAGGCAGAGGTACTTCCAGGTCTCCTCACCTCCCTCTGCCAGTCCGTGGTTTTTTCTTTTTTAAATCCCTCTCCCTAACTCACGGAATTCTTTGGGAAGGATGACCATCTCTTGCCATGAAGTGGAACAGGTTTTTTAGAGTTTTGCATATGTGACTTTACACTAATTGATTTTTTTTCCCCGTTTGTTTTCTTTAAAATGCATAAAAAGCCACAGTTGGTTTGGGCAACTCCATCTTTGACCTGCACCCATTCTGTCTGTGGAGAGAGAAATCCAAAAGCCAAGCAGAGGTGGCCACGTGAAATTCAGCACTGGAAGAGAGAAACAGAGCTGGGGTTTGATCAGTTCAGCAGAGTGGTGCTGCTGACCCAACGTTTCCTTAGCATTGTTTGGATTTTCCGTGGATTGCAATGTATGGATCACTCAGTAGCATTTATCAATGAGTAATGCACCTCCATGTCCGACCCCACTGAGTCATGGGACACTCCAGTCAGCCTTTAGAAAACACTGAGAGCTAAAATCCCCACACAAACCCAATTACAGAGAGGCTGGAGGCTTTCCCTCCCTCCTTCAGGTCTCTGGTGCCTCAGAGAAGAGCTGGATACCAAAGCAATGAATCATATAGGGAATGCCAACCCCTATATGTCCAAACCCCATAATTGCATGTTAACAAGAAAGCAAAGCATTGTTCCAAGTGCCAGGGCTATGAAATGAAGATTGCAACTAATGTAAGTACATCAGAAACCTGAAGAACCCCAGCACCATGTGCCAGCTCTAATGTCAAGGCAGAGCGAAAAGAGAAAAATTGCAGTAAAACCCACAAAGCCAGGAATCCTAATTTGTCTCCCTGGCTGCAGCTGTGGCAGGTTTCTGCAGCCCCTGCGAGGTGTGCAGCTCCCTGGGCCAAAGGCAACACAGGAGTGCCCTGCTGGGCTTCTCCTGCAGCTCAGCCCAAAGCCCAGCAGT